GTAGGCTGGATGGATAGACAAAGGACAGATGTGGTGTCTTTGGTCAGTGAAAAGACTATAATAAATACTTCAATGGGCTAGTATTTGGGGACAGAAAACTATCAGTACACAGGCAATGAGATAACCATTTAGAAACAAGGTAATTTTTTCGGTGTAATACTTATGTATGTATCTCAAGGGGCTATGGGGGAATAAAATACTTAACTAACCACTACCAATAAAAAAGAGCAGGAATATATTTTCATCATAAACGGTCAGCATTTCCATACCAACTAGGTATTGCTCTAAGAATCTCTAAGCTGTGCAATAAAAATTCCCGGCTGAGAAAGTTTAATTTTTAAACTTTTTTTTTTAAACTTAAAAGTTTTATTTTCAACCCTTTCAAAAAAAAAAAGTTCAACTATTTATTTGAAAGATCAATTGTTTTCTTTAGCACTAAAAAACATATTCCTTGGGAAGGCAATTAAGTAAAATCCTCAGGAGAGGCCTGAAAAACACTAGGTAAATATTTTCCTTGGCCCAAACACTAACTTAGCAACAACAATTTATATCACATGGAACTGAAGGAAGTTTCAAAAATAAGATCAAACAGACTTTCAAAATGATGCTAAAGATTTTTTTTTAAACCCATAAAAATTCATTCTGAACATGCTCTACTAAAATCTACCCTTTAGTAACAAAGCAATGGCTATGTATTGGGGTTGTAAACCACAAGACCAGTAGTTCAAAACCACCAGCAGCTCCTCAGGAAAAAAGAGGCTTTCTACTCAGAAATCCAGTTTGTCCTATAGGGTCGCTATGAGTTAGAATTGACTCGATGGCAGTGAGTTTCAGTCATAATTTTTGGATGATAATTAGCAAAATGAGAAAAGAAAGGATATCCCCTAAGGAGGCTTAGTAAGTTGGTTCTGTAACTCCCTATGGACAAAACCAATTAAAAATTGGTGTCAAAAGCACATTCTTGTTAGCTTACATAGAATATTACCTAAAGACCAAAGCTTTATTATTACCATTATTTCATCCATTTTTTGTAATTACCAGTTTACCATCAAGGATAAATGTACTAAATTTTCTAAACTAATTTTTAAATCAACTTCCTTCTTTTCTAGTATATTAGAGCTTAGGTTCTGAGTAGCTCCAGTTTACAAAAGGTTATGGATGGCAGTGAGAGCCCAAAATCTACTTGCAGTGTCCCCATAAATATTAAGCTGCCACAGAACTCTCTCTGGCCTTTAGGTTGTAGATAATCTTGCCCTCAGGCAGAATGCCTAGGAAAGTAGATTACTTCCACTTTCTCCAGCCAGCCCAGGGAGAGACTGTCTCTCTCCAGAGGGCTTGCCTGGCTGTGTCCTTGGTGAAGGTCATGATACAGTGCAAGGAGTCACAGTCATGAGTTATGCAGTCATCCTTGCACTAGCTGCCTTGGTTGGAAAGCCCTAGCCTAGACCAATCTTGTAACACACACACACACACACACCCGCCCCCACCTGCCTGCTTACAGAATTGTATCTCGATTGTGGTGGTCCTTTTCTGCTCCTGTAATCCCACCTCTAATTATGATGCACTGATTTGCCACCAATCATGAATTTGTGAGTTTCCTGTGTCCCATGCATCCCAACTGGAAAGAATCCTCCAGGCAATGTGTGTCTCTTTTGAAACTAAACAAATGTTCTGCTTAAATAGAAATATTTGGGGTTGGGGTACTTTGGCACGATAAAACACTAAATTTTTTGACCAAGAAAATTTAGTAAAAATAAAGGTGCTCTAAAAAAGCTTTTCAAGTTGGGCTAAATACGTACCATATGAAACATAACTTAAAATACTTTCTCACTGATTTAATGGTTTCACGTCCATAAAACATCTGCCGAAGTGCTAAGGGTACAAGCAAGCATACCCCCAAACCATTACAAATCTCTTAAAAAAACAAGCAGTTCCTTTTCCTGAGCCCCTTCCAAAGTCTAATTGTCGCTGATGGGTGTCTATCAGAAAAACTTTGTAATACAAAGGCCTGTATTCAGCATCTTCCAATAGAAATGAAATGCTAACTCCTCCCTTTCCTTCTTACAAACCTCAGCCAGAGGCGTGACAGCAGCTAGCTTTAATTAGCTACACAATTGCAAAGGCTGTTTCAAGACCTCCCATCCTCAGCTACTAATTTTAATTTTTTTTAAATTTGGACAATTTTTCAGACTGTGGAGCTGGTTTTACAACTGAAATTAGAGGCTCTTAAATTGTACACAGAACTGAGTGGATATAGACTTTTCCAGACTCTTTTGCTAGCATCTTTCATCACAGCAATTTAAAAACATGGTAAAGGACTCTCCGTTTTCCCCGGCTGGAACCAACCTGTTAGACCAGCGGTGTTCAACCTTCCTAATGCCTCGACCCTTTAATACAGTGCCTCATGTTGTGGTGACCCCCAGCCATCGGAAATACCTTTTCCAATGGTCTTAGTCGACCCCTGTGAAAGCGCTGTTAGACACCCCCCCCAAAGGGGTCAGAGTCCCACAGGTTGAGAACCACTGATTAGACAAAGGAGCAGCTCTACTCTGCCCTCTAATGTTAAACGCACTGGTGCGGTCCACCTATTATCCCTTACATCACCTATCTGTCCCTCACAAAGTATGAAGGGAAACTCTCGAGTCTGTTATCGGTGCCATCCAGTCCATCTGGCGCCTGCTCCTTAGAATTTCCAATAAGTAGACTACAGGACTGGCTGCTAAATCCCCTCTGGGGGTGTTTGAACCGCCTACCTCATGGCTAGTAGACAAGCAGTTCACTATTGTGTGCCACCCAGTCACACTACCCAAGTTCAAAT